AATGAATGTACAAATGTGCTTTACACAATTGATGTATGTATGGATTGTGATAAGAGTTGTATGAGCCCCTAATAAAACGATTTAAAAAAAAAAGTACTGAAGGTGAAGCCAAAGGGTTCAATGCCAAAGTAGAGAAAACTCTAATGAAGTAGGGCTTCTGAGTTTAGCCAAGGGTTCTATCTCTTGCATCCACAATGCCACCTTCTGATTGACAAGTGTTTGTCTGTTTGGGGGGAGCTAAGGACAACCCAGTTCTCCTTGCTCTTTGTTAAAATGGCTCATGGCCGTCTCCTTAGAGGCCACACTGCCAGCCAGGCCAGTGTAAAGTGGAGGGAGAGCACTGGTGGCCAGGGCGACAGCATCCGGGGCAGCATGCACTGAGTTCAGGACTGGAAACAAAATGGCCCCAGAGAAAGAATCACAGGTTGATTTTCTTGGCCGCCAGTGAACGCTTCCTGACCTCATACAGTTTACTGTGATGAGGTGTCCAAATGCTTCCCAAGTCCTCCAGAGAAGCAGCAGAAGAAGCTGTGCAAACGATGTTTCCAACCTCCGTGGCTCTTGACAAAACCGTTCCCTCTGACCCCCTTACTTCATTCGATCCTCTCAAAGCCCATGAGGAAATGAGTCCTAAGAGAGCAGGTCACTTGCTCAAGATTTCTCGGATAGCAAGAATGGCGCCAGAACCCGAGCCACCTGATCCTCTGCCACCAACCTCCTGACTATTTTTTGTTTTTCATTAACGGATGCTTCTTCTTATAAAAGTAATTCAGACACTAGAAGAAAGATGGCTGCTCTACTCACCTGAGGAATCATTTTACTGAAGCTGGCAATGATGTTGGTGCTTTTGGCCTCTTGGTAGTAAGCAAACGATCCCGTTAAAATAACAACTGCAGCAAGCACAGCACCCAAATACACCTGAGGATTGGGAGAAAATCAGAAAAGCAAAGCATCGTGAACCAGATTCGGTGGCGACATGTCTCCATAGAAAGGTGAGGAATATGCCATGTGGGTCCATATCATTCACAGACCATAACTTTTACTAGTTTCAAGTGTGCACATTAATGATTATTTATGTATTTGTTTAATGTAAGGAAATTTATAGAGTTGTACAACTACCACTGTGGTCATTTCTCTCACCTAAGAAACCCCCACTCACTTGTGCCTGTTTTCAGTCAATTCCCACTACCATCCCTAGTCCCACACACCTACCAGGACTCCTCCGTCCCCTGTCCCTACAAATTCCCTTTTCTGGAGTTTTTCCGTCTTTTGTATTACCACAACATTGGTCCATTCTTACTGTTAGCAGAATATTGGCCAATTTGGCCTCCTGGTTAGTACCCACTTTCCAACAAGCATAGATGCCTCTCCATATTTAAAGACTAAGATTAACTTTGAGGAGAAAATTTGAAAAAAGTACATCAGAGAAGAGGCTGATCTTCTCACTAGGAATTCATGATACAGGCCTGTGTGCTGCTTTTTCATTCATGTTCACACTGCTGCTAAGACCTGAGGAAGCCAAATGTTTTACTGGTGGGAAAAGTGCTGTGCTCTGCCCGCTCAGGCCTAGGTTCAAGGCCTAGGTTTGCTCCCCCTGTTTGAAAGTTGGCAATGTCCTGTGGGACAGCAGCTGGGACCTTACCTCATCTACACTGGTAGTCGAATGGTAGGCGTACTCAATTCCATAGGTGATCCAGCTCAAAAAGACGCCAATCCACAGGAGGACAGAGAAGCCCCCCACCATCTGCTTGAACAACTTGACAATTTCCGGGGTCTTCGTGGGAGGGCTGAGGGCATTGGGTCCAACCTGTGCCAGGAGCTCTGCCGCTCTTGCACTGGAGAGGCCCTGAAAAGGCCACACAAGGACAAAACAAGTATCAGACAATAGTTCTGTCTCAGCAGGCTGGATCCGATTTCTGCCAATTGTAGTTAGGAGTTAAGAAGAATGGGTCACCAAGATTAGAAGAAGACTTATTAACAACCTGATCTATGCAGACGACACAATCTTGCTGGCTGAACGCCAAGATGACTTGAAGCACTTACTGATACAGCTGGTGGAGTACTACTGTCAACCTCTTAGTTATTAATAGAACCAACTATTAGCCAACAGGGCTCCTGAGTCGCAGATGTTTGTTGGTACTTCTTAAGCTGTCTCCCCCATGAGAAGACTAGGTCTTCTATGGTTTCTTCAGCCTGGAGTCAGAATGAATATGCACAAAGCTAAGTCCCCTAGACCTATGAGCATGACAAGAAATTATTTTATGCTAATTT